TCTGAGGACCGCAGTTGAGCAACGATGGTCGTAGGGCCGTAGTCAAGTTACAGTGTACCGAGGGCCAAATTTGGCAAGCAATAGAAGTAAAAAATCTGGCGATAACGGAGTGTTTAATTTCATTATAAATTTGCTGAAATCAGAATCCAATTAGTCCTAGATTTAATTTTGAAATTTTTTAATTCAAATGTCCAGTAACTCATGCTCAATTGAGACCGTTTTTTATGACGTATAAGATGCTTTTATTATTTTTGGAAAATTATAAGCGGCACTTGCATGGAATTTAATTCCCAGAAAGAAAAAAAAATGTATATTTAGAAATTACTGATTTATTAAATGTTATTTATTCCCCCATTTACTACCGCTATGTCTGAACATAATTTTTGTTTTTATTTCACTTTATAATATTATTTTAACTGAGGCATTTTAAAATATTAGTAATTTAATTTCTCTTTAAAATTGTGATGATATATTCATTCTTAAATATAATTACTCGCAATAATAAATCATAAGAAATTTGCGAAAATATTTGATGGAAACTGATAAAGTCTATAATGATCGGTTAAGTGTATCAAATTGATGTCACTTCTGCATCTAAGTTGAAAATAATTTTTTTAAGTATTTTAATTTTTTGTTAGAAAATGTAGGTCAATTAAGATAAATTACATACACATCACAAATATAAGACTCAAACTCAAAATCTCTTAATTGATAATCAAAATTATGCATTATGTAATTTTAAAATTTAATCAATAAATATTTATTTGTGACAATTTTCTTACTACTAAAAACAGTCCCAAACGAAACCTAAATAGAAGATTGGATATTGTACTATTAGCCCATACTAATTTGGAAGAATTAGAGGCACACTATAGCATTAACGGCAATCGACAACGAGATTGCAAAGAGCGGACGACGCTCACGGACGAGAGCTCCTCACAGTCTAACACAAATATTAGTGCCTTAAAAGATTTCTTAAATTCAAAAACTTAGAAAATAATACAAAAAAAATTATCATCATTTCAGCATAAGCATCATATACTCATTTGCATAAGCTGATGAAAGAAGATGAGATAAAAAAATACTAAAAAAAAGTATCAGCATGTGCCAAGCAGGTACATCCATGAGAAATTCAATTAAAGGTGCGCAGGCTGAGAATATGGATTAATTATTCTTTGCGGACGTCAAACGTTGTCCGAAGACCAACCAGAATGCGCCACATCATCCCTGTGCTCGGTACTGCTCATCACTACATCTCGGTACCGCTAACATGACACATTCTGGTTAATCTCCGGACGATGTTCTGCCTTCTATCTCCGCACATAATAATTTCCCTAGAATATGCCTCACTTTAAGGAGCACTCATCAAATCAAGGTCAAAAATAGACAAGCACTCGCCCAATGAAGCTTGAGTTAGAAGGGCTCACCGTTAAGGAGCACAATCAAGGAGGCACATTTTTCAAGCGAGTTTGACCAAAGAACTCACCTTGTGGTAGTGTTCAACCTAGGTGGGGTGATTTCCTACACGTCACTAGACGTAGGTTTGCCAAAGCCATCTTGAGCCTTAGCTAATAACTAGCTAGTGGACGATACATGAAAATAATGAAGAGGGATTGTAGGCATGGATGGGCAAGAGTCACCCAACAGGGCGCCCCAGGGAGCTTGGTGATGATCTTGCCGCCATTAACTTCCTCTTCCTGTCTCCCTCATGAACAAGGGGAGAAAAGAAGAGGAATTCAAGCACCTATTAATCCTCAAGAGAAGGAATTTTTATTAGGTATGGTGTCCTGACGTAGCTCTACATCCGGACGCCAGGAAAATGGTGCCACGTACTGTTACTCTTTACCGCGCGATCCGACGACCCGACTCGGACCGGTCACGGGATAGCTATGTATTGGCTCATTTGTGCAGACCCGGGCATTGCTAGGTATTGATCGATATTGTTCGGCAATAACGAGAAATATCATTCTATGAAGACCAATACCTAGCAATACCGAGCAATACCCCGGTTTTAATAGGTATTGCTCGGTATTGGTCTTCACAGAGCAGTTTTCTCGTTATTGTCGAGCAATACCTAGCAATACGCGAACATAGCAATATCGGGTTCTGGTCCGGGTCGGGTCGTCGGGCTGCGCGGTAAAGAGTAAGAGCACGTGGCGACATGTTATTGGCATCCGAACATAGAGCTACGTCAGGACACCGGACCTAATCAAAAAGTATTCATATTATACTCGGTTAATAATGAATTTACAATCAACATCAACAAGAGAAAAATAAAAAAAAGGGTAAGAAGCAAAAGGCGTGAAGGTTACTATAAAAAAGGTCTTGTACATGCAGACAACCTCATGTGCATAGGATCTGAGAGAATATCATGGGATACTACATTCCTTTTTTCCTAAGTGTAGTAAGAATTGGTGTTCAACAAGGAACTAGATGAATCATAACAATTCTAAGAGCTTGCAAGTTGTTAACATCACTATCTTTAAGTCAGGCACTTTCATGTGCAATACGACAACCTCATCACCTATGATATAGGAAATTTCATTCTCCAAGGCCTCACCCCTACTCTTCTACTCCTTGACTTCGATCTTAATGAGAGCAAGTTGCTCCTCCAAGGCCTGAACTCGCCACAACAATATCTCCAACAAAGGCGTCGTAGGCATGGAGACTCTAACATCCTCGTATTGGGCAGAGTAGGCTTGTGAGCAATAAATGTGGTAAAGTGTTAATATTGTGACCCCCTCAATATTTAATTCGGAAGAATTGCATATTTTCGTTTACTGTTTCATCTATCAAAGTCCCTAATTAGTATAAATAAATTCAACGAAAGCAACTATAAATCATATACATAAATTTATAATTTTATATTCATTACTCAAAATTCATGTACAATAACAAGACGTTCAATCTACTACATCAATCTATCAGTAAATACTCCTACTTTTAAAAGAATAAAACAAAAAATACAAAAAACAAGACTAAACCTTAGGATCCCAATCAACCTCACTCCATGAGTTCATGATTCCTTCAAAAAGAAAACATATAAAAATCATAGAGAGAGCTAACAACTCAGTTGATCACCAGAACCTAAAACTGCAATCAATGCAAGATACTCAGAATCAATATACATGATTTATCTGAATCAAACAACTTGGCAAGATATATATGAATCTATATCATTCATTGAATCAATATGATCAATAAACAAACATTAGTCCAAAAATCTTTAGAATATACATAAATAGAAGTAAATCAAGAATCATTACATCAATAAATTATATATATTTTTTCTTTTTTTTTTCAATACATTCTATATAAATCTTCAATAAAATTTCAGTTAAGCTATCAATTATGAATCATTATTCTTTTCTTTTCAAATACATGCTATATGTATATCATGTGTCATGCATGTATGTATGTATTCATACACTTGCATTTTCTTATCAATCTTATTCATCCTTCTCTCTCTATCGCATCATGTATTATATCATATATACTACCATGTATTTGCCAATACATGATCATATGAATTATAAATGTATGTATATATCATATCAATACTACGTAAGACAAAACATCCAACTATCACGTGATGTGTTCCCATTTTGCCACATCAATTACTCTTTAAACAAATAACTTTTATTTAGAAATCGTCACTCTCTATCCATCGATGTTATCAGTTAAGCAATCTTAGACTCAATCCAAAATAATAACACAGACCTTTGATTTTAAGAAAAAATCTATCAGCTCATCTTCTATACTGGGAAAATTATCTATAGTCAATCCTAAACTAATATACTGCAATAAAATCATCTCATTCAATAATTAGAATAAAATTATAAACACAAAAAAAAGACTAGCTACAACGCGGCTAACAAACCAGCCAATATTACATCTCTTCAACTAACAAATTCCCTTCGTTGCTATAAAGCATCAATCTACGAAAACACACATTGTACATATTGATTAATATTTTACATAATGGAAATAAAGCTGCTAAAATTTATAGTAAAGAGTTATAGGCATAAAAGTAATAAGCCAAATTAATTTTTTTAGCTGTTAAAAATTAGTGTGGCAGTCTGTCAGAGATGAGGATGCTCAGGTGGCAGAGATGAGGATGAGTGTGGCAGAGATGAGGATGCTTATGTGGATGAGTGACTTTACCCTTAGAGATAGGATATGAAATGAGCATATACGTGATAAGGTTGGAGTAGCTCCAGTAGAAGATAAGATTAGAGAGAGTCGCCTTAGATGGTTTGGTCACATAAAACGACGGCCTTCTGATGACCCGATTAGGAGAGTAGAGGTATTAGATTTGACTTATGTTAAGAAAGGTAGAGGCAGACCTAAAAAGATTTGATTAGAAAATATTAGGAATGACATTTCTTTATTAGATTTAAACGAGAATTTGACTTTTAATAGGACACAATGAAGGAAAAGAATTCATGTAGCCGACCCCACGTAGTGGGATAAAGGCTTGATATTGTTTTTGTTGTTGTTGTTAAAAATTACTGAAAAAAAAACAAAAAAATAATATGTAAAACAAAAAATATCTTACATTAATTAATTAAATTGGAAAAAACAACATATCAACTAACATGTCAGTATACAGCCTACAGTGATCTGTGTTCGTTGGGAGTTTAGGCCACCAAAAAATTTTGAGTCCGAAGCTTGTATATATGATGTGCGTGTGAATTTGAATTTAATTTACTAAAAAATCTTAAAAAAAAAAAAAAAAAAGCATGCCAGCAACTTCATATGACACCAATTTGAATACCCATCTACTTTAGCATAGCACAACTCCAACAAGAAAATAAAACGATAAATACCAAGATGGCCTTGTCGATCTTCTCATGGATAAGCTCCTAACTGGTAAACCGCAAGAAGTCCCAGCCAAATACTAGGAAGCGTCAAACATCTTGTCTACCTACTTTATGTGTAAATCATGAAATATCAATGCAGCTTGTTATCATACTTAACAAATACACTAAGACATCAACTTTGTAAAATGTGGCAGTATTAATTTATTAAAACATTTACTGATACAATGCGACTATGTAAATTTTATGCCAAGAAAATTCGTTTAAATAATCAGAATTGACTCTTCTTTTGCCGGCATACGGCCCCAAGATCCTTAAATCAGAAGGCCAGCAGAAAGCTGAACATTTCTGCTACGTATGAAATGACCAAACACAAGAATTTCTCTGGTATTGCACATAATACAAAACATTTCCTCCAGTTATGAACATCTTGAGGTAAACAAGATTAGCGCTAGAACAAGAAAAAAAGAGAGGAGCAAAATAAACACTTTATCCGGAAACTAATGAGATTCTACTCACTCGAAGTCTCAACAGGTATAGGCGACTCAGCCGTTTTCAATTTCTCTAGTTCTATGATACGCTGGTTCAGAACATCAATGCGTTCATCAAGAGAATCATAGGCGCCTTTAACCTGTATAAAAACAAGCAAGTTAAGTAATCTCAGCCTGAAAATTTCCTTGGCTATTACAGGTGAAAACCCAATCAAGCAGATCATTTATGAATCATGATAAACTGAAAGATCATTACAGCATTTCGTACATCTAAGTAAACATTTCTACTAAGACAGGAAATCTTAATATGAAACCCCCATAATGAATTATATTCAAGGTACGACATTGATGGTGTCTTATCTTAGGGATAGATTTATAATTTAATGATCTCTTGAAAATAAGAATGAGAAGAGAGGATAAAAAATAACTTCCAACAAACCTATAAAAGCATTTTAATTTCAAATTAAGAATTAACTATACAATAGAAATGAAATGTTGCCCGCAGATTATTAAATTATTATAGACGAAAAGTTGTCCATATAATGTTGAATTGATGTAGATAGAAAGATGATATCCACAAATTTTCTATAGAAGAAAAGATTTTGGGCCCAGATTCAAGTGTTTTTCAGCATTGTATGTATATGCTGATCATACCTAGTTAGTTGATTAGTCTATTAAAACTCATTATAGCTCAGCCTTCGTGAGGATATCTGCAATTTGAAAGTTTATTGAAATATAATTTAATAGGACTAGTCCATTTTAAATTTTATTTTGATAAAATGTCAGTCTAACTCAATTTGTTTAATCATATTACTGTGAAGAGAATATTTTATAATACTTATAGCAACCTGATTCATGCAACATAGGTTCCCTTACCTGAAACTAAAAAGAAGCTAGTCTATGAAATTAAAATTAGGATAAGAACTTGGAATATAGGTTCCCTTACAGAAAAATTAATCGAATTAATAGATATTATAATTTATAGGAAGATAAATATTCATTGTATTCAGGAAACTAAATGGGTTAGAAAGAAGGCTAAGGAGATTGATAATTTAGGATTTAAACTATGGTATTCGAATAAAAATCGTACTAGAAATGAAGATATAATTATAGATAAAAGTTTGAAGAATAATGATATTAAAATTAATAGAATTGGAGATAGAATTATACCTTTAAAGAATGTTGTTGATGCTAAGATTATTACTATTAGAAGTGTTTATGCTCCTCAATTTGGTTTGGATATTTGTTGAAATGACTTAGAAGAATTAATACAAAAAATACCTCTTGAAGAAAGTTTTTAATGGAGGAGATTTAAATGGACAAGTTGGTAGATAGATTGATGATTTTAAAATCATTCATGGTGGCCATGGATTTGGAACAACTAATAAATGTGGTAAGACCATATTAGTTTTTTCTTTAACTTATGATTTTTTTTAATTGTTAATACATTATTTAAGAAAAGAGATGAACATTTCATCACGTATAAAAATGGATATAGTAAATCTCAAATTGATTATTTTCTTACAAAAAAATTAGATCTTTTAAATTGCAAAGATTGTAAAGTTATTCCAAATTAAAGTTTAGTACCCAATATCACTTATTAGTTTTGGGCTTTAAGATGAAGAGGCATAAAATAAAAAATAAAGTAAATCAAAATTCTAAGATTAGATGGAGGCATTTAAAGAATATTAACAAAAATATTTTTGAGAGTAAGATTTTAGATCTTAAGATTTTATCAGTGCATGATGATGCTAATATTATGTGGGAAAAAGTGGCTAGTAAATCTTAAAATATTGCAAAAGATATGTTTAGCGTATCAAAGAGAAAAGTTTCTAATAATAAAAATAGTTGGTGGTGAAATCCAAACGTGCAAGAAAAGATTAAAAAAATAGGAAAATTTGTTATAAAAATTAGTTTATATGTAAAATTTTAATAATTATGAAAGATATAAATAGACACATAAGGAGTCTAAGAAAGCAATACACGATGCAATAATCTTAGCTTTTAATAATTTATATAATAGATTATATACTAAAGATGGATAAAGATATATGTATAAGTTAGTCAAACCAAGAGATAGGAGTAGTAAGGATTTAGTTCAAGTGAAGTGTATTAAGGATGAAGAAAAAAAAAAATACTTTTGTAGAAGATGATATTCAACAAATGTGGATGATATATTTTGCTAAACTTTTTAATGAAGATTATGAGAATATGATTGAATTTAGCGACCTTAGCACCATAAATGAAAATAAATATTCTTATTTTTATCGGCATATTCGTAAAACCAAAGTTAGAGAAGCTTTAAAGAAAATAAAGTGTGAAAAGGTTGTTGGACTTCATGACATTCCAATAGAGGTGTGGAAATGCTTAAGAGATGAAAGAATTTTTTGGCTTACTAAACTTTTTAATACTAATTTAAAGACTAAAAAGATGTCAGATGAGTGGAGAATGAATGTGTTGATTCCTATTTTTTAGAATAAAGGTGAAGCACATCAATCCTCATGCTATCCTTCTACTTTTATCACACAATACATGAAACTTGACTATAGTTTTTTTCTTTTTTTTTTTGGCGGCCAAAAATTGAATCTATAGAAAGGCATACATGCTTAGTAAGACTAGCTCGACTGCTTGAAATGAAAAAGGAGGCCACGAATCCATTGTCCAAACAAGAAAATACCTCTCCCACGAATCCATGTGCAAGAAAGAAAAGGAGGCCTCAATTTTCTCCCTTGCCATCAATCAAGGGGTAGATAGTAGTTAGATATAAATTATAATTTCTTAGTTATTGTAATTAGTTTTTTACATTTATTCTCCAGATAGTTTCGTATATAAATACTTATTAGTACAATAAACAAATCAAGCTTTCCTATCCATTCTTCTTTTGTACATCGCATCAAAGCAAGATCAGGGTACTCAATATTACCCTTATTCTTCCTCTATTTCATTCTTCTCTGCATCATGTCTAGTTTCTTTAACTTCTCTAAAATGCAACCATCATGAATAATAAAAATCAAACTAACTCTAAACATTGAAAACCTCATATCACGTGAATTAAAGAAATTATCTGAAATGGTGTCAGATTGTGAAGACTTTTACAAAAGGAAGAAAAAATTTCATCATCCAGTGGATTCTTCTTGGGAGATGAATGACCCAAAATTTGCACTTTTGGATATGATTATGTCATGGTTATGGAATATCATGGTGCCTAAAATTAGTGAATCATAGATGTTACTAAAACTCCAAAAGATATTTGGGAAGATGTTAGAAAGACTTACCCCAAAGTAAAGATGCTGCTCTGCTCTCATTTATAAGACAAAAGAAATATCTTAACAACCAAGCAATGTACCTCCTTATCATTGAATATTTTAATAAAATGAAGGTGTTTTGGATAGAACTAGATTACTATCAAGATCTCAAGATGAGTGTAGCAATGATGTCGTGATCTTCAAATGATTTATAGAAAGAGAAAAGATGTTTGAGTTTCTTGCAAGACTCAATAATGAATTCAATCAAGTTAATGTACAGAATTACAAACAGAGAGAACCTATCTATCATCCATAAATGAATTATTCTCATTCATACAAATTGAAGGAAGAAGAATGAAGATGCTTGGCAACCCAATTACTGAAACATTTACTATAATAACCAGAAAACCGTCAAGAAAAGGTCACTGACTCTTCTCATACAGAAGGATTTTTTTTTTCCAAAAATAACCTGTGGTGCAATTACTACAAGAGAAAGGGGCACATCAAAAAGAAATATTGGAAACTCAACGAAAAGACCTAGGTTATGGTGGAGACAAAGAAGGCCAATTAAAATAACAGGCTCATCTTGTGAAATCAAAAGGGCTTAACAAACAAAAAATTGACAAGCTAAAAAATTTTCTCAATTCCCTATAAAAGCTATGTGGAGCATTTTCTCTAGTTTAAAATGATACCAATTATAACTCTTGTGTTTTAAATACCTCAAATAGCTCCCTCAAACAAGGCTTTTAGATTCAAAAGGCATCAATCACAAAAAAAATTTGAGAGGTTTTCTAGCCTCCACATATTTCATCAATAGAATACTTTCACGAGTGAATAGTTTCCAAAGTCCTATAATCTATCTTATTGAATTATTTTCCACAAACAATTTTTTTCTCAAAGCTTCCTCTAAAATTTTACTTCGATGCTTATACTCACAGACACAAAGATCGAGATATGCTTGATCATAGAGCACTCAAGTGTGTTCTTTTAGGATATCCTCAACTCAAAAAATTTATAAATGTTATCATCCGATAATAAAAAAAAATCTTCACATCAAAAGATATCACATTTATTGACAAGTCCAACCTATCTTCAAGGGAAGAAAATCATCTTGAAGATAAATTTGATGAAACTTCTATCTTCTCTCTTGACATCCCAACTAAGCAAATTTTCATAACCTCCTCAAGCTTATGCAAGGAGGAAAAAACCCAACCAAAATCTCCAGCAAGCTTAGGACTTCAAAATTGTCATCAAGTACTAATGATCAACACAGTACCACACATTCTCCTCTTTAGCCTATAAATATACTTCGAAATTTTTCTTCTAGACATAAAAGTCTTTCTTATAAATATCAACTCCAACTCCATTAAAATTTAATAAACCTTATTTGAGGGAATAGATAATAAAAATTGAAAGGGCATCATAAGAAAATATATAAATTTCTTTAAAAAATAATACTTGAAAAATCATAAGCTACAAAAAAAACCAAAAAAATTATAGGATGCAAATGGACATTTTCGTTAAAAGATAAGGCAAATGGAAGTTTGGAACGATACAAAGCAAAGTTAGTAGCCAAATGATATAATGAAATTGACTATCAAGTAATCTTTGCTACTATCACCAAAATGAATGCAATTCGCATCTTAATTTCTCTGGTTGCTGACCTTAATGATCTATACAATAATATGATGTGAAGAATATTTTCTTACATAGGGATATTGAAAAAGTCTTTATGGATCCTCCACTTGGGTTCAACAGTTCTTATGCAGAAAATATGAGGAAAGCATATTAAAAAAAAAGCATTATATGGTCTTTAACAATCCCAATAGTATGATTTAATATTTTATAGATTTATAAAAGCCATGTATAGGTAAACAAACTCTTCATAAAATACT